CAAGCTCAAGACTCTCCTCTCCTCCCTCAAACAGCAGCCCCTCATCATCACATTGTAAAAGGTAAGTGATGGTCCCCTCCATTTCCGTCCACTTGTGTCCCTCGGGCTACAACACCTTCAGCACCCCCCGGCTCCGCACGCTCAGGCTCAGCACCCCCAGACGCAACACACCTAGCAGCACCACCCCCAGCAGCACCAGAGTCGATAGCGACCTTGACAGGCTCGACAGGGTCTACCTGAGACACAGCTGAGGGAGCAGGACCTGAGGGGGGAGGGGGTCTACCGGAGGAGGACCTGGCGCGAGGAAGAGCGGCGGGGGGGGGGAGAGGCGCAGTGCGGTATGGGAAGAGACGGTAAAAGGGTACCAACTCGTCAAACGTGACGTCCTGAGAGGGCAGGATACGGCGCGAGGTGGGGTGGTAGAACTTCAAGCCAGGCGCGTCAGGGGGAAAGCCAAGGAAGACGCAGGGAATGGCGCGGGAGGAGAGCTTGTCCGCGGACGTATCGCGGACAAAGGCACGAGAGCCCCAGACCCGGAACACCGACGCATCCCCAACCTTCCCCGTCCAACGCAGTGTAGGCGAGGTCTCCGGCAAGGAGACACGGGGCCAGAGGTTGAGCTGATGCGCAGCGTACCGGACCGCAAACGGCCACAGAAAATGGGGGGCAGCCGCATGGATCATGGAGGTACGAGCGACCTCCATGACTAAGCCAATGCCGCGCTCAGCAACCCCATTCTGCTGGGGAGAGGCCGGAAGCGTGAACGACTGGCGAATGCCCTCCCCACGACAAAAGTTCCGCAAGAGGTCGGAGGAAAACTCACCACCTCTGTCAGAGTGCAGACGCAGGACTGGAAGGTCCGTGTGGAACCGCTCGCGGAGCTGGAGACGGACAGCGCGGATCCAAGGGATCAAAACATCAGGGACCTCCCCCTTGGTGCGCAAGGGGAAGACCGTGGTGTAACGCGAGTAGTCGTCAACAACCAGCAGAAAGTAGCGCTCGCGACCCTGTCCACGGATGCGGGCTGGGCCCCACACGTCCATGCGGAGAGTCTGCAGGGGAGCAGTCGTCGGGGGAAACGAGGAGGAGTGAGGAGCGGCGCGCTGCCGCCCCTCGACACAGGGAAGGCAGGGAGGGGCAGGCGAGGGTGGGAGGGGAGGCAGAGACCTGGGAAGACCAGAGACAAGGAGACGGGAGTGCATGCCACGGAGGCGTGACACGGAGGGGTGACCAAGGCGGTGGTGCCAAAGGAGCGTCCGGTGCGACAGGGCGCGACACGAGCAGGGGGCCGCTAGCTGACCTGACGCAGACGCAGCTACCTGGGGAGGCTCAGTAGTCAGTGTGTACAGACTCGACCCAGGCCGACGGGTGAATGTGGCCAGGTGATGGCCAGTCCGGGAGCACGTACAGATCGCCACACGCTGTCCTGCAGGGGTGAAGGTATCAACCCACTCATCCTGAAGGACGGCGTTGCTCACCAAGTTCGTAGAGAACGAGGGGAGGTGAGGACCTGACAGTGAGCCAGACGGAACCGCCGAACACGGGAGAACAGTGGAGGAACGTGCAAGAACTGGGCCCCCAGAGGGGTCAGCCAGAGAGACTGCAACAGGTGCAGGGAGTGGTGTGACTGTGGTACTGTCGCGAAAGGAACAGCGGGAAGCACCTGAGTCAAGCGTGAAGGTGTGCAAGGCCGCAGCAGGCGCAGTACCAGAGAGAGCAGACTCACTAGCACCTAGAGCTGCAGACTCACTAGCACCTAGAGCAGCTGCCTCTATACCTGGGTCGGGCGACACACACAAGTAACAGTCACCCTCAGCACTAATTGTCAATGCATACATGGCAGTGAGGATAGCATCATAGTCAAGAGCGAAGATATCCACCCTCTGCCTAAGCAGCTCCAGCCAGCGGGGGAGCTCAGCCGCGTCGCCAAACTCTGCACGCCAGGCGTCGCTCAGACAGGCGAAGCAGCGAGACTGTGTGTGACCACCTGTCCCGCAAACTTGACCATCCCGATCACCTGTGCGAATGACGTACGGGCAGCGACCAGTACTCCGAGACGCCCCACGCTGAGCGTACCACTCACGAAGCTGCTGGGGCGTAAGGGTCTCGCGCGGACGCCGCTGCAGCTGCATCTGGCCACCGCCAGAAACTCCCGACTGAACAGCTCCACGGCGACTGCCACTACGGCCGCCGCCACTACTCCAACAAGCGTACCACTCACGAAGCTGCTGGGGCGTGAGGGACTCGCGCGGACGTCGCTGGAGCTGCATCTGGCCACCGCCAGAAACTCCCCACCGAACAGCTCCACCAAGACTGCCACCACGGCCGCCGCCACCACTCCCACTGCTGCCACCACCGCCGCCACCACTCCCACCGCTACCACGAAGAGACGTCATAGCGGGCAAAGGAAGGAGATGTGCGACCAGCACGGCAGCACGCATGGAAGGCAAGGCGGCGAGCTGGCACTAGGGTAGGTTGGGGCGGCACACGGTCAGGGAAGGGCGGCGCGCGGCCAGAGTAGGGCGGCGCACGGCCAGAGTAGGGCGGCGCAATTGGCAAGGCAGGGCGGCGGCCAGCAGGGCGGCGCACAGGCAGGGAAGGGCCGGGCGGCGGCTAGTAGGGCGGCTCGCAAGCAGGGAAGGGCGGCGCGGCGGCGAGCAGCGCGCGGGCAGAGCAGGGCGGCGCGGCGGCGAGCGGCGCGCGGGCAGGGCAGGGCGGTGCGGCAGCGAACGGCGCGCGGGCAGGGCAGTGCGGCGCGGCAGCGAGCGGCGCGAGGGCAGGGCAGGGTGGCGCGGCGGCGAGCGGCGCGCGGGCAGAGGAGGGCGCGTGGCGGCGAGCGACGCGCGGGCAAGGCAGGGCGCGCGGCGGCGAGCGGCGCGCGGGCAGGGCAGGGCGCACGGCGGCGAGCGGTGCGCGGGCAGGGCAGGGCGCGCGGCGGCGAGCAGCGCGCGGGCAGGGCAGGGCGCGCGGGCAAGGCAGGGCGCGCGGCAGCGAGCAGCGCGCGGGCAGAGCGGCGCGGCGCGGCGACGAGCGGCGCGCGAGCAGGGCAGGGCGCGCGACAGCGAACAGCGCGCGGGCAGGGCGGCGCGACGGCGAGCGGCGCGCGGGCAGAGCAGGGCGCGCGGGCAGGGCGGCGCGGCGCGGCGAGCGGCGCGCGGGCAGGGCGACGCGGTGGCGCGCGGCGGCGGGCAGGGCGACGCGGCGGCGCGCGGCGCGCGGGCAGCGCGACACAGGGCAGGACAGGGCAGCGCGGCACTAACAGGGCGGCGCGACTCGTGGGGTAGCGCGATTCGGTGGGCCCTAAAAAAAACGGTCCTACGAGAGGACCTGCTCTGAAACCATGTCAGAAGAATGAACGAGAATGAATGAACTAGCACAATGCAGGAGTACAAGTACCAAACCCTAATTGGGTTGTACCCCATATGGGCTACCCCACTACAGCCTACACAACATGCAGTATATAAGTTTGACACGAACAAGCCCGGCTTCGTCAACCGCAAGAAACGCATCGCCCTGTGTAATGAAAATTTGTTTTCCTTACTTCGCGCCCCTGCTTGCCGCGTATACGACGGTTCCCGCTAAAGGCACCCAACAGTGAAACGTTACCCGCTCGCGACACTCGTCTCGACCATTGCTCCCGCCACTATACACCTCGCGACCCAACCTCACGGTTCAATTGGTAACCCGCGCTCCGGTCCTCCGCCTCGACATTTCCCAACCTCAGCGCTAGGCCCGTCGCGCACCACATTCTCGCGCATGACCGTTACCATGCTAGGCTTTCGCTATATATTGTTCGCTCACTCCTTCGCTCATTTGTACTTTCGCTTCGATAGTGCAATTCTCGCTCGCTCACTCAATTGCACTCGTCACACCCGTTACTTCTTCGGTAAGGACGAAATCAACAAAGGGAAGGTTCAACTCACCTACTGCCCAACTGACAAGATGGTAGCTGAATTTCTGACGAATAAACTGCCACATCAGAAGTTCCAGTACTTCGCGGACCTGTGCGGAGTCATCAAGAAGAGCCACGTAGTGCACCTCCAGGAATGAAAGGGAGTGTTGGAGTAAGCGGGAATTAAATCTAGCATTCCCGAAGGTGCAGCTATATCGCACTCGCCAGTACCGAACCAATAACAGCAGAAGTATTGGATCAGCCCATACAGGACTGGAAGGTCAACTGTCGCGACTGTTGACCATGTGGACCGAACGGTTACACGGGAGGAATGGCAACAGGCGTAACTGTCCGTACAGTTACACGCAGCGACCTGATAACAGGAGAAGAGCAAGAGTCAATGTCACTGTAGAAATGCCTGTAAAATAGTTATAATAAGGGAATGTACCCGTTAGAGTACATGGCTAGCTAGATTTATTTATTGTGTGTAATTTCCTCTTTTAATCAATCTTGTCATCTACATTCACTGTGCACAAGGTTCCTACCACTACCAAAAGACTTCCGCTACCAATCTCTAAGGCAACCTATTCTTTCCAAGATCCTTATTCTAACACATCCCATTTTGAGTTTTGGAAGTTCTAAGACAGGAATTTGTATATAAAATGTGAACACACAAAAAACCTTCTCCAAAATTCATAAAAGCGGGAACAGCAATCTGTAGTGGTCCAAGAAAATCCAGATGTACACCCTCTTTCTTGACGCACGACGCAAGCAGCGGCGTGCGCCTCTCCACACAAGCACGCACTTCTCAATGCTCACCCGCACGAGAAGCAGCACGAACATGTACACACTTCACACGACGCCCACGCTCGCGACAAGCGCAATCGAGCCGCTGTTTCACCCACAAGCCCAATCGCGTTTAATTCGGGTCACATGGTGTGGTGGTCTTTCCCACAGCTCGGTACGGACTGGTGCAGCATCGCGCCTCGACCGGGAACTGTAAGTCAGATACAAAGAGGCGCGCTGCTTTCAAATTATATCAGATAATTCAACAGCAAGCAATCAGTGCCACCTGACAGCAATCCTTAGCTAGTCGTCTCCAGCTTAGCTAGTCGCTACTTTCCCGCGCCGATAGAACAGGATGAACGCCCTCCGCTTCTCGCTTCTCGCGCTCCTCGCAGCGGCCCTCGTGCTGCACCTGCTGCCCGCGCGCACCGCCGCCTCCGACGTCGAGGCGGCGATCGCGAACGACGAGTTCACCTTCGACGATGCTGCCGACGAAGTCGCAGACTTTCTCGGCGACGATCTCAGCGAAGTCGTAGAGCGTCGCATCCTGGCCGGAACTAGCGGCGCAGCAACCGGAAGCAAGGGCGGCGCGTACAAGCCGAAGCATAAGAAGCGCCGTAACGCGGCTGGCGACGGCTCCGGTTACTGCCCCTATGCCGGCAAGTCGGGCAACTCGCCGGCGGCGGAGTACTGCGGCGGCGCGTGCTGCATTGTAAGTTGCTCTGAAAAGGACCCACTATCTGGACTCCCTTCAGTCTCCTGTTTTTATTCGTTTCCCCCCTCCGACCGTCATCGCCTGTCCCCTGCTCCATTCATTCACCTGGATGCCTCAGTGTCCCCTTATCACTCCTTTTCCTTTCCTCTCGTGCCGCCGTGGCGACACGCGGTGCGCAACGCTTAACTTACCTCTCTGCTTGCGCCCTTTCCCCAACACGCGCGTGTACGCGTGCACCGCGCAGAGCCCCGAGTACCCGTGCTGCGGCGGCGACAAGTGCTGCAAGAAGGGCGGCTGCTGCCAGAAGAACGGCGCTTTCGTGTGCTGCAAGAGCTACTAGCTGCGCCGCCCCACGTGCTAGGCGCTACGCTCTCATGATGCACTCGACTCTCCCAGAGTGATTCGGGTCTGCGCCGCCCAAGCTATTAGCTCGTAGGAGGAGGAGATGGCCTCGTTGTAGATGCTCGTTAGGCGCGCTGCTTCTTTGTTTCTACTCTCAGGCATGGCTTCCATGTGTTAGGTGCGATATTTGCTAGTAGAATGTGTAGATGTGCAATGTGTTGCTCAATGTGGCTAAATTGGTGTCGAATGACTTCCCGTTGCAACCTCTGTCCCCAGAGGGTTTTCTGCCAATCTGGTGTCGTTTGCTTGGATCCCCAAGGCTGCGGCGGTACCTGTATTTCAGTCCCTGGATGGTCAGCCTACATTAGGTGGGCAAGTTTGGCCGTCGTCCCGGGTGATCCGCTCACTCTCTTGGCATGGGGCAAGGCGAGCTGCTATCTATCCTAAAGTTGTGCCAGGTACAGGCGTGACAGTATTGCTGAGGCGCCTCAGCTAGCATCCATAGGGCAGGCGAGAGATGTTTTGTAAAATGGCCTCTAGGCGCCTCCTCAGCCGCCTCGGTGCAATGCGATCTACGGTAGGAAACAGATAACACTTGGGTTTCTAGGAAACACTAAGTAAAAACTCTCTGGGAACAGAGGTTTCTAGGAAACACTAAGTAAAACCTCTCTGGGAACAGAGGTTTCTAGGAAACACCAAGTGAAAACCCTCTGGGAACAGAAGTCTCTATGTGAGCCAATATTTCAATGTACGGTATATAAAATGGCCTCTAGGAAACAGAAAATTGCCTCATCACACCTAAAAGCCCTGAATAACCTAGGACTTGCATCCAAACTCCTGCTCCCAGAACTTCCTTGCTTCCTCTGACGAGCGCATCTGCCAGATGTGCGCCGGCGGAGGGCCCTGCTGATCGCGCCTCTCCTTGCGCCGCGCCTGGCAGACAGGTGAGACCCGTGGAGCATTGGGCGATTGGCGTGTGGGGGAAGAGGACAAGCAGGGAAGCAGGCAGCAGGGAGGAGGAGTTGGGCACGTGCAATGGTGCCATGGGTTGTGCGCATGCAACAGCATCATCCAAGGGGAAGCCCAGCGGTGCATGGAGGTCAAGAGGGGAGTAGCACGGAAGCTTCAGAGCACACATGGTCAACAAGTGGATACACATGCACTTGGCACGCTGAAGCAGGGTGCTCGTAAGTGGATTGGGCGACTGGCCAGTGCATCACTTGCTCTCTCAACGCCTCCCTCTCCCCATGAGGCAGGCCTCGCAGATCTATGCACGCACGTGACAGTGCAGGCACGCAGCAGCACGGGAAACGGAGGCAACGTTTGAGAGCAGTGATGAGCTGGCAGGTGGCAGTGATGGGCGCATGGGCGTATGGGAGCATGGGCGCATGGGCGTGGCGAGACCAGGCGGGTGGCGGTAGTGCAGAGGGGCAGCACTGACCAGCACGGAGGGGGCAGCGGCGGTGCGCAGCAGCATGCAGTCCCACAGGTGGCCCCACTTGCCGAGGCACGAGTCAAACGTGCCCTCGCGGTAGTACTGCGTTGTCTGGTACACCGGCGCTGCTCCGTGCCACGCCCATGGGGAAAAGGAGGCGGAGCGGGGAAAAGGAGGCGGAGCGGGGCAAAGCATGGGTGAGAGAGAGCAAATATCACAAGCAGCAATCACGGCACGGGTGCAGTGGTGTCGTGGCATGGACTGAGACAAGCGCAACGTACAGCAGAGCAACTCAAGAGCGGAGCAGCACATGCTTGCACTCATGTGACGCATGCCCGCACAGCATGCTCTTCACACCCATGCCGCAGCAGCAGGGCGCTCACAGTAGCAGCAGGGCGCTCACAGTAGCAGAACCAGATGGCATCGATGTGTTTGATGCACGACTCTCTGGGCGCCGCTGCCCCCGACGCGTCCGCCCGCACCGCTGCAGCGTCCCACGCAGCACCTGCCGCGGACGACTGATCAGCGATAGCATCCCCGGCGCCTTGCGACCCCCCCGCTTCCGCTCTGTCCGGACCAGCGCTGCCCGCAGTGGATTGGCTCGCGTCCGCCATTGGATGGCCGCTGCGCGCACTGGCGCGCACGAGAAGCGCGCGGCACGCTGCGGCGCGCGTGCAGCTACGCGCACGGCACACCGGACTTCTCAAAAAAGTAGGGGGGCTAGGTAACCTTGAACTAACCCTAATTTTGTCCCGAGGTAACCCTCCAGTAGGTTACCCCGAGGTGGTTGTAGGGCTAATGTACAAAGTCAACACGTCCAACAAATTCCAACCTGTTACCAATACTGTAACATATATAGTTACTGTAATATGATTGATTCAATCATATATAGTTCTGTAAGGAAAATTCCTTTTCCTTACTTCGCGTCCCTGCTCAGCGCGTACACCACTGTTCCCGCCAACAGCACCCAACAGTAAACCGTTACCACTCGCCTCGACTACTGTTCCCGCCACTGTTCACGCCGCGACCAAACCTCACGGTTCGGTCGGTAAGTCGCGCTCCGGACCTTCGCCTCGACAATTCCCAACCTCGTCGCCAGGCCCGTCGCGCACCCCATTTTCACGCATTACCGTTACCACTGTAGTTTCGCTATATATTCTTCGCTCATGCCTTTGTTCATTGTACTCTTGCTTCGATAGTGCACTTCTTGCTCGCTCACTCAATTGCACTCGTAACACTTGGTATTCAGAGCCTACGATCTCTTCTCGGGCCACACCCACACCTTCGCTTCCCCACTACAGTATCTCAATTTTTGGGGGGGGTAGACATCTCTCAGCGAAACAAGTACCGCCGCTCGTAGTGCTCTCTCGTAATTACGCACGGCCACGACAGAGGCTCTCGCTGAGCTTGCCCGACACCCCCGCCATGGCTGAATTCAACATCGCGACACTGACGCAGGAGCAACTCGATCGTCTCGTGCACCAACTCGAAGATTCGACGCTCGAAATTGCGGCGCTTATGGCGGAACGCGACTCCGCTCGCCAGCAATCAACGGTGAATGCTCCAGCACATGCACTCGCAAATGCACCTGCGCAATCAGAAGAACCGATCGTCATCTCATCAGGCACACCGACGCAACACGACAGCGTGGGACAGCGCTCAGGCGCAGCCAGTGATGGCGCCGCTCAATCGATGCCTGGCATGGAGAGAAATAGGGCCGCACCAAGACCGCGTGAGCCTCGCGAAGATCGTCGGCACGTGGAGTTTGCAGCAACAAGTGGCAGCCACGACATCATGGCACCAATGCCACTCAAGCCGGAGCGCCCGCCCTGTTTCGATCCGAGCCAACGTGGAGGTCCGACGGTTCAATCGTGGGTCTTCACGATGAACATTTTCTTCGACGCGAATTAGATCGAGTCGGACGCAGCAAAGATTCGCTACGCTGTTTCCCTGCTGAGGGGCCCCGCCATGGATTGGTGGCGAGTCATAGTGACGTCGCCACGCGCCTACGAGCCACCGTCGCAAGAGGAAGAGCCCACGGGCCCAGCCGTCACCTGGAGTTCATTTTGCGAAACCGCCCAGTACAGCACGTGGGATGCGTGGTGCGCAGGGCTTCGGGCGCGCTTCGAGCCGATCACGACTTCTATTTCGGCGCGTCAGAGACTGCGTACTTGGCGGCAGCTCGGATCAGTTCAAGACTACACGAGCGGTTTTCTCGCATTATGCGAGCAAGTCGGCTATATGCACGAAGCGGAGCAGGTGGACCGTTACGTCGGAGGACTGAAGCCGGACATCTCGCACGAAATCATGCTACGCGGGCTCTCGAATTTTAACGAGATCCTCACGCTCGCCGAGAAAATCGACATTTTGCGCCGACCGAGACCGGGGTCCTACTACGGACGTCGCCCTCGGGGACCGATCGAGCACTCCACCGTACACGCCGTTGCGACGAATGCAGCTGCCGCACCGTTTAAGGGGCGCTGCTTTGCTTGCAACAGGCCGGGCCATCGATAAAGGGAATGCCCAGAGGAGCTAAGGCGCCGCGGAGCAGAGCAGGGGAGGGAGTCTCAGAGGCAGGGAAACGCCAGCAGTCATTAGAAAATGGGCCAACTACTGTCGAGACTGCCTACTCGCCCAACCTCACCGACCCTCACCGAGTCACAGTACTGATTCACGCCATCGATCGGGCTCGGATGATTAAGGAGGGTACAGCGACGGATTGCCCAGTACCGATCCACGGAAAATACAGGGAGTAACAGTGAAGATTTTTATAGATGGAGGGGCAAGTCACAGCTTAGTTAATACCGCGACCGCACGGAAGCTGCAACTGGCACTTAGTCGGTGTTTACCTGAGATAGACGCACGCTTAGTTGACGGAACGCCACTGGCCATACGGGAGAAGGTGGAGAGAGTAAAAGTCCGCTGCGGGGGAAACTTCGGGTTTACACAGGAAATGCTCGCTACGACATTGGATCGGCACGACAATTTACTGGGACGTGATTGGCTGCGACGGTATAACCCGCGAATCGGCTGGACGACGGGTAGCTGCACTGTGCGAAGTAGCGGTAACTGGGTTGAACTACCTCGCTGGTAGTCGCCCGAGTCTTCAACGGTCCATGTCAACGCCATCACGATGAAACGGGTTGTCGCCCCTGGAGCTGACGTGTACGCGGTGGATATCGCAGTGGTAGGAGAAGCAGAGCACCCGAGCGATTTTCAGAAACTGCTGGCAGCGGTACCGCCCGAACTACAGGAACTGTTGAAAAGGTACCCGGGGATTTTCCCCGATGACTTTCCGGAGGGACTGCCACCTCAGCGAGCACACGATCACCGAATAGAGTTAGAACTCGGGGCACAACCAACCGTACAGCGACAGTTCAGATTGACACAGCCCGAGCTTGACGAACTAAGGAAGCAGCTAGATTATCTGTTAGAGAAGAAATTCATCCGACCGAGCTCGTCACCGTTCGCCGCACCGATACTGCTCACACCGAAAAAGGACGGAGGGTTTCGCATGTGCATCGATTACAGGGCACTGAACAGGGTTACAGTCAAGTCGCGATACCCCATTCCTCGCGCCGACGAACTGATAGATCAACTGCGAACAACACGTTTCGAAAATCGACTTACGGGGAGGTTACCACTAGATCAGGGTCGAACCATCGGACTGCGCCAAAACAACGTTTAGAACTAGGTACGGGTCCTTCGAGTACACTGTGATGCCGTTTGGGCTGACCAACGCACCGGCGACGTTTCATATGACCATGAACGAGGCGTTTAGGCCACTCTTAGATAAATGTGTGATAGTTTACCTCGACGACATCCTCGTCTACAGTCGCGACAAGCAGTAGCACTTAGCAGACCTAAAAGCAGATTTTAAAAATTTAGACGAGCACAGGCTACTGACCAAGGGTTCCAAGTGCGAGTTTTTTCAAGACAGGCTAGAGTTTCTGGGGCACGTCATTTCGGAGGCTGGGGTTGAGATCGACCCAAAGAAGCTGGACACGGTACAAGCGTGGCACCCCCCGACATATATCACGGAGCTGCAGAGTTTTTTAGGGTTCGTTAATTACGTGCGTCGGTTCGTCCCCGACATGGCAAGGTTAACAGCCCCACTGACGGATCTGCTGCGGAAGGGGGTCGCTTTTACGTGAGGGGAGAAAGAGCATGCTGCCTTCTCGGCCCTGAAAAATGTTATCTGTTCACCGCCCGTACTCCGCATCGCCGACCCACACCGCCCATTAGAAGTGGTTACAGACGCAAGCGACATCGCCATCGGAGCCGTACTGCTACAGGATTTCGGCAACGGCCTACAGCCTATCGCATACGAGTCACGAAAACTGAATCCGCCCGAGAAAAATTACCCGATACACGACCGCGAAATGCTCGCGATCGTGCACGCATTCAAAGTATGGAGCTGCTACTTGACCGGCGCAGACGTGACAGTACAGACAGGTCATAAATCACTACAGTACCTCCTCGCACAGCCCCACCTCAACCCACGACAGATTCGCTGGCTCGATTTCCTCGAGTCAAAATTTCACTACACGGTCACTTACAAAAAGGGGGCATCGAACATCGCCGACGCACTGACCCGCCCCACTGCCCAAATCCACACCATACTACCTGCCCAGACCAGCCCGCTACTAACAGGACCATTTACCCACGGATATCAGACGGACCCATTCTTCACAGGTGGAAATTCGGAGCAGTTCGCAGCAGCAAAGGGGGATTATTACGTAAAAGCCGGCACTTACCGCATCTGGGTACCGGGCTACACTTTACTAAGAGAGCTGTTACTATAGGAAGCACATGACGGAGTTACCTCAGGACATTTCGGAGTAGAAAAAACACGGCAGGAGCTGCAACAGTATTACTACTAGCCCGAGATGCTGACCGACGTGCAACGACACGTGGCATCGTGTCCCACCTGCCAACTCACGAAATCATCACGAAAGCGACCGGCAGGACAATTGCAGCCGATACCAACCCCAGAGCGTGCTTGGCAGCAGGTGATGATGGACTTTGTCACGGGGTTACCGGGTGGAGCAAGTGGGAACGACGCGATCCTGGTCGTTGTCGATCGGCTGACGAAGATGACACATTTTCCAGCCTGCAAGAAATCAATCACAGCCGAAGAAACAACCCTCCTCTTCATCTCCACCGTCGTTCCATTATACGGGATACCAGCAGCAATCATCAGCGACCACGACACGAAATTCACTAGCAACTTCTGGCGGAACCTGTGGCAGCAGTTCGGCACACGACTACAGTTTAGTTCTTCGTACCACCCCGAGACTGACGGACAGAAAGAAAGGACAAACCAGACCATGGAGCAACCTATTCGAGCCACGCGCGACGACCCGACCACCTAGGAACAACAACTGCCACTCATCGAGTTCGCGTACAACAACTCGCCATCCGCCACGAACCAACAGTCACCGTTTTACCTGAACTACGGACAAGACCCCACAGTACCAATGACCCCCGAATCCCAAAAATCCAGTACCACGCGCGCAACAGTTCGCCGAAAACTTACAGGCAGCACGGACCCGGGCAGCCGACACAATTAAAAAGGCCAACGTCATCGCTAAACGCAACGCCGGCCGTCACC